AGAACTGCAAATTTCTGGACCACAGAAAACACGTGTCTGGTTCACTTCCCCTCCCCCAGCACCCGGGATCTGCTAGTTGTTAGGTGCTTTGGAGTCGATTCCCGCTCATGGCAACCCCGTGTATTACACAGCAGAACCGAGCTCCGCGGGAGTTTCTAGGCTGTAACCTTTATGGAAGCAGATCACCAGGTCTTTCTCCCGTGGAGCCACCAGATGGGGTCTGAACCGACAACCATCAGGTTAGCAGCAGGGCTCTTACCCGTTTGTACCACCAGGGCTCAGCCCTCAACACATAGACGCTGAGTGAAGGAATGTGTGTGCATACCAAGAGTGCAGCTAATGCTGAATGGATGGATTGAAATGGAATTTGTAACATTTTAAACAGTTGCATCCTTTTCAACAGGATGAAAGCCTTAAGTCAGATGAGTGAAGTTGTAAAGGCATCAATGGGTGGCCAGGCAGAAGGTGACTGAGGACGCACCCTTCTGGGTCCAGGGAGCAGACAGCAGCCCTGTACATTCAGAGGCAGGGGGTCCTGCCCCCGCGGGCCCACCCGGAGTTCCCAGGACCCCGGGTCTCTGCAGAGTCTCCTCCCTGCAGGGAATGGAGAAAGGAAGCTGCAGTTGAGAAGATGCGAAGTGGGGAAGTTGGATCAGTTTAGGATTGAAAATACATGGAAACATCAGCACAGACACAATCACGTTACAGCCAAGAGCAGTGCCTGAGACCCCGGGAAGGCTGGCCACTGTGAATCAACCGCTGGGACAAGGAATGAGATGACTGGGGGAGCCCATATCTGCCTCAGTTTCCCCCTGCAGAATTCAGAGGCGTGTGAGCATGGTGGTCCTGTGGATACCTGGCCTTCTTTCATCCCAGTGGGCAGGCCCTGCAGCAGCCCCCATCCATAAATGGACCTGCCCTAGCTGAAGGATGATGCAGTGGCCATCCTTGCCTCTAGTGGTTCAATCCAGCTCACAGGCCCTCTAGTGGCTCCCTGGGAATGGTCCCCAGCTCCTTCCAACAAGACCTTGTAGGGTGCTCAGGGCTGGCCCTCCCCAGGCAGGGCACCAAAGAAGCCCCTAGGAATGATTTTCCGTTGACAGGCATGTTGACTAAGGAGCAAGAGCAGAGTGTGGCTGGGTGGGTCCGGGTCAGAATGTCTCCAGGTAGCAGGATGGTCACGGTGGGGACCTGGACTTGGAAATTAACTCCTGGGCTGTAGAGGGAAGTGCTGAGGAGACTTGGCACAAGAGGGAAGGGATGGGAAATCTGACCTCCCAGGACAGTTCCTGCTTCCCCGGCTTACTGTTAGCAATGAACCTGTT